TTAGCCATTATGCTGTGGGTAATGTTTGGGAAATAATGGAGGCGTCAACAGAAAATAGAATGAGTCAGTTCTAATGGGTGATTTTTCTTTATACATGACATCTACAAACTGCATTGGGATACTGCACTTCCCAACATAGATGGCTCCAGATAGCTTTACCAGAAGTTAACAGTATTAGAGAGCAGTGATGCAGATTGAACAGTGAAGAGAAAAATAGTGATTTACAAGCTACCTTCCACTTTTTATTTTTCAGTCATTTCTTATGTTTGAAGCTCAACATATAGAGATTGTATTAACAGTTCACATTTTAGGGACTGCATCTCAGTTGTGTGGATGTTAGTCATCTCACTTACATCATTTTGTGTAATGGAGATCTTCACATGGATAAGGTTGTTGTTTTTTAACCAGAACAAAGATGAGCTCAACTGAATTCAAACTTCCCTCCAAATAAACATATGTAGGATTGAGTTGTACAAACTACCTGCATCATTGTGCTAAATAATCTCTCTTACAGCTGTAGTGTCTTTCTGATGTTTGAGAAAGATATAATTGGAACTTGAAAATTGGGGAAAATTTAAAAAGCAAACAAATTTTGTGGCTATCCTCTCCTTTTGTTGGTTTGCAACTTTTTAGTTGTAGTTTCTTCCCTACCATGGAGCTTGCCAATTTGTCCATTGTGCAATTGAGATATTTCAGCAGCCAAACAATGTCAGCCTTCCTCTCAACCTTAGACTGCAGAGGAAACCACAGAATAACTACATTGTGGTTATAATTCATATGAATTATCTTTATTAAAGATAAAGATTCATGTGAATATATTAAGATAAAGACTCTTGTGAAGTCTAGGATTAAGAACAAGGATAGGGTTTGTCTCCACCATGCAGAAATATGAAAGTCTGCTTCAAGTTCTTAGACCCAGAAGAGGCAAAAAGGTTATTTAACTGGTTGGCAGTGAAAGGGTTAGGTTTTAACATTTCCAATGTGAAACTAATCATTTGGAATTTATTTAACTAGAATAATCTAGTTTTGAAGAAATGTCAATACACATGGCTATTAAAAAGAATATATGATATATTTTTTCTGAATTTAATTTTGGTACTACTGCAGTTTTGCACGTGAAAGAGACATCTTTAAATTGAAGATGTAATCTGACTAGCGTGGCTATTCCTTTCACAGGTATAAAGATTAACTCTAAACATTTAATATTGGGAAGTTATTAAATGTCTGCAGTATGGAACTTGATGTTCAGCAGCCTTTGAGCTTGCGAGAGAAGAAAGCAGGATATACATAAAATAAAAATGATAGCAATTTTTCTTGACTAAACTTTTTTTCCTGGTTAGCTTGAGAATTTCTTTACCAAAACTTACTAAGGCAAACACCATTTAATTATATAACATGAAAACTTTTTTTAAAATGTCAATGTACAATAGTAATTTAAGTGAATTATTTTTTCTTTACATTGTCCATTTTAGCATATAGACAACTAGTATTGAGAACAACAAAATATTAGTGTTGTTATGCTTATAATTTTTATACATTTATAATGTTTATAATAAAAATATATAAATAACCAACATCATCTATGTCTTAGACTTTATGTAGATTGTGCAGCTTCCTCTCCTTAGCTGGCTTTTTCTTGAAGTCAAAATGCTTCTGCTAAAATTTATCTCTGTTTTGGTCAGGATATATATAGTCAGGATATATTCTAGGTTGCTCGGCACTGTAAATAGCATGCAGTAATTATTACAGGAAGATAAACCTTATTGAAAATTGTATTGTTGGCTATCTTCTGGATTTGTTGAAGATCTCACTGGCACTCAAATGAATATGTTTTTCTACAAACCATTTTCTGTAATTGTATTTTATGGAGAATGTGACAGGGTAGAGACCTTGAAAAGTCAATAATTTATATCCATTTATGAACACTTTAAGGAAGTTTAAGTTTGCTATCTTGTCTTTGGTTCTGTTTGTGTTAAAGTTATGTAACTTTGTTGCTTAATCCACTAAGAAAAATCTTGTTCTAACATTGAACTGAATCCAGATTTAGTCATGCTTAGAGTAGAATTATTAAAACATTAGGACAAAGTATGATTACATCTGGGTAAAATCTACAGTAAGTAAATACAAATATTGAATAAATGCTCTGAATTTAATGTATCTGTTATTCTATATTTCTTTACATCTCAAAAATGTTATTTCTAAGAAAATATTATCATGCAAAAAAAAATTCTTATAAAACAATATGTACTTAGATTCCATTGAATGATTGAACTGTTATCTGAAAAGGGCACCTATTTCTGTTATTAGTGTCAAGAGAAATACATTTTAGATGTCTATGAAGATGTATATAGTAATGTAAATAATACATTTTATGCATTTAAGACAATGCAACTTACTCTAAATCTCATTTTTAATTGTAGCTTTAGTGCTGAATAGCAGAAGTAGAATGGCAATGTATATTTAGTCATCAGTATGAATTTCATTCACATACAGGCTTTGTTACAAGTATTTTCTTAAGATTGGAAAGCAACATTCTATAAGTCACGAGTGGATTCTGTTAGAATGATGTCTTGCTTCTTCATTATGTTCAAGGGATGTATGTTCTGAATATGCAAGTGGTGTTTCATTCCATTTATTTCTGCAGTTTCAACATTTTATTAAATACTGTAATCCTAACCCTAATATGATACTTCTTGGAAGATTGTGGTCACAGCACAGCTTTTGAAATATAAGAATCCATTTTCAAAATCAGAACCAAAATCATTTAGTATTGAACTTAGATAATGTTGAAACTAATACATAACATCCTATATGGGCTTGCTTCCTATCCTAAACTAAGGTCAGGGCAAACACAGTTTTTTTTAAACTGCCAAGGTGGGGGTTATATGCATCTCTGGGGGAGATGCTGTTCCATCTTTTTTATATAATGCTTTATATATACTTTCCTATGTTATGTTCCTCTTTTACAGCTTAAACCTTAAATTGGACTTCTGCAGTCAAAATCACTGTAAAGTGGTCCATAAAATGAATATAGGTTTAATGAATGATCAGAACATCTTTGTGATTATATTTTATTTGTTCCTAAGAAGATAAGTTTGCAAATTTAATAACTGTTCTCTTTCTAAAGATAAAGATCAACAATAGAGAATTTATGAAATAAAATAGTTAATTGAAAAACACAACTATACTATTTTAACATAGTTTGTTTTTAATTAAAATCAGCCAGAACCACCCGTCATATTAAAAACCAATTTAAAAACTGATGATGCTTGTTTTTCTAGCATTTTATAACAACATATTGTTCAAATGTTCATAACAATTTTAAAATTTTCACATACATTTGCTTGATAGTAAGCCTATCCGTTATTTGTCAAAAATATGAAAAATTATTATATATGGTATGTTTCTTCTAAAAATGAATTTCTTTCCTCTTTAAAATTAAAGTGTCTGTATTCTGATTATATTCTACAATGAGAAAGTACTTTTACCAGAGATGATAACAAATAAATGTAATTGCACTTAATTAAAATACTTTTGGCTAGTGACTAAATTGTAATTTAAATTATTTTTCCTAATGATTTAAATCATGTTTTAAATTGATTTAATATTTAATATAATAATTTTAAATTAATTTAATTTAAATCATACCTCACCCTGTTTTGAACCCACATAATACTCCATAGTTCTCATTGTGGGGACTAGTAACTAAATTGCAATAGAAGATAATAGTGCAGTGATTCTCAGCTTTTGGGGTCAATAGCACATTTGGTATTTTGAGAATTTGGGCACTCCTATCAAATGGCTGTCTTGGCCAATAAACCATGCACAAACATATACAGTACAAGCAAGCAAGCAAGCAAGGAAAGTTTCTTGCCAATTCTTGCAGTCTCCCCCTAAAGCTATCATATGATCATTTTATTTCCTTTAATAAATAGCTCTTTCTACGTATAATATTTCATGAGAGGATCCACATAAATGAAAAGCAGACAGAGCTTTTTTGCCAGTTGGAGAATTGTTGAGGATTGATAACTACATGAAATTAAAAATGCCAACACGCTGCACTTTGTAAAGTACAGTATATTATGCCTGGGTTTCCTGTATTTGCAGGAAAATGTAGCTTTGCTGCACAGAATGTACCTACTTTGTATCTGTGTTCTAGATACTTATTCCTGCTCCTGTTTTGAGAATAGAGTGACTTTTAATTTCTCCAAAATTACTTTTTCTATAACTTTCTATAATCGGTAACTCAAGGAGACTTAAGATTCATTTTATTGCTATAATATATAGAGAAGATTGACCTCTGTCAGATTGTTTACCCATCTAGTTTAGGGTAACTATCAGCAGCCTTCCAGACTCTTTCAGATCCCTTGATAAATGATCACTTTAAATGAACATGTCAAGAATTGAAGAGCTTGCATAAATGGTACCACATTTTGGTCCTTCTGTAACAGATACCACAATAAAGGTAATTTATTTTCAATGAAATGAAAGCAGAAATTGTGACATGAGCAATGGTGACTGTAATATTTTTTCTGGTGTTCTGATGATGATTATGTAATATTGTTAACATATGTGATATAACATGTTATTTTTTCTTTCTAGGCAGTTCATAGAGAATATTGCAGACCTTCAATGTGAACCCAATACTTCTGCTTGATATACATATTTTAGTACAAATTTTGTTTTTTACTTTTAAAAGATGAACATTTTCCAGAATATGAAAACTTGGAAATAATCACTGTTCTCTTTTTTCTCATCATTGTTAAATGATAAAAGAATTCCTGAAAACAGAATAGCATTATTCAAGGCAGTACTTATGACCTGAGACACTACTTATCTTTAAAAAACTGACACATATTAACATTTATTGTAACTATTTACATACCGAATTGTGAAGTGCACTATTTCTAAGTGGGGCAATTTGATACTACTCTCTCCATGCACAAAACCAACTCTATAGTTGTCTCAAAAGCAAAATGAAGATCTTCTGTGAGAAAATATTGTATATTTCTGTTTCTGAAGTGAACAATTTTATAATGATGTAAGCAACTCCCAATATCTGGATGTGGTGCTAAAGACAACTCATTTTTGACATCAGCTGTACAAAGAGGACCTTTCCTTAAAATAACTTCTAGCCAAATTTATACTCGCCAGCATGCACAGAATGAAAAGGAGAGTGAAGTTGATTTAGACAAGAGGATTTTCCTTGAACCATAGAAGGAAAATGTGAGATTCAACTTGCAACAGTTCAGAAAAAATTTTTTTGTCTGTATGTTGAACAGGTCTTGGTGGATTTAAATCAACTCAGATGTCCTCAAACGAATCTTCTCCTCCATCTTTACAGAAGTTTTCTCCATCTGTGTCTCATGCTGCTGCTCCACCTACACCATCTTTATCCTCAAGTCCACAATCTGGACTCTCAGGCCGACTTTCCAATGGCAGCTTCAGCACACAAAGCCTCACCAACTCCAGAGGATCTGTACATGGAATCTCTTTTTTGCTGCAGATTGGTCTCACTCGAGAAACCGTTACAATTGATGCTCAAGATCTCTCCCTATCTGTTGTTAAAGACCTAGTGTGCTCTGTAGTTTATCAAAAGGTAAAACACTGATTTTAATGCTCATATTGCTATTATCTTTCTCCCTTATTACGTATTTAATTCAGGTTTGAATAAACATACAGGAAGAGCAAAAATTAATATGCAAATTCTGCTTATCTACGTTGCTGTCCTTGTTGTCTTCCATATTTTGAGGATTTGGTAGCATGAAACTTTTTCTATCCATGAGTACTGCAGTGGAAATTTAGAATAATTCAAGATTCCAAATTGTGTGAAGAGATTATCTGAATATACAGGGCTGCCTTTTTTAAGTGTTTATCCTCAATATGCAAAATGAACAGTGAATGGGATGGGAATGTAGGGACAGAATTTGCTTACTTGCTGTTGTTCAATCATTCTCTTGTTTATTAAAGCCTTGAACAATTGAATAAGCTTTCTGTGAATAAGAAAATATAGATTGATTATAGATGGTTGGGGAGCCAGTTTGTTGTAGTGGTTAAGCATCAGATTAAAAAACCAGGAGATTTTGAGTTCTAGTCCCAGTTTAGGCACAAGGCTAGTTGGGTGTCGTTGGGCAAATCACTCACACTCAGCCCTAGGAAGTAACCAATGGCAAACTACTTCCAAAATCTTGCCAAGATAACTGCAGGGACTTGTGCAGACAGTTGCCAAGATTTAACACTGACACCCCCCCCCCCAAGAAAAGAAAAGAAAAGATAGATTTATTTATTAATTAAATTTATATGCTGCCTATCTCTCTGAAAAGCGACTCTGGGCAGCTTACAATCAAAATCATAAACATAAAAAATATTAAAAACATTAAATAAATACAAAGACAAGGGGCAAAAATGGCAAGATCAATATGGAGATGGCTGTTTCTCAGTTAATCCATCTACCACCTCTAACATTGAACACCCCTGTCAAGAAGCCAGGCTAACTTGCAGACCCAAGTTTTATGCTCTTCTGGAAGATCAGCAGAGTGGGGGTGGATCTCACCTCAAGTGGGAAGATATTCCGTAGAGTGGGGGACCACAGCAGAGAAGGCTCTTCTTTTACATCCCACCAGCCAAAGTTTTTTTGACCAAGAGGGTCCCTTTTGCCAGAGTGAGTAGGATGGACTGATATCATTGGTGCGAGACGGTTCCTCAGATAACCTGGATTAAGATTTAACAATGCAGTCCTTTGGTTGCAAATAGTACTATTGAGTTCATTAGATTTTTATTCACATGTTACACAACAATAGGCTTGCAATCTATGGAGGAATTATGAATCTTGAATATATTGTTTAATTATTTATAATATCGTCACTTATAGGAAGGATTTAATTTAAAATTTAGCATCATGGAAAGTTCTTGTTTGTAGTTTGAATGGCAAATTTTTATCCAACTATTTGTGTGATATGACTTGATTTAATAGACTTCTGTAGTATTTTTACCATCTCCTTCAAAGGTTGGCAGATGGTTGTATTAGAATACATGCAGCAGCAGAAATAGGGTAGATTGAGACCCAGGTATACAGTATGTTGTATTTATTTATTTATTTATTATTATTATTTGGATTTATATCCCGCCCTTCTCCTCATAGGACTCTGATACTATTTCCCCACAGAAAGTTTAGGTGTAGGCTTTAAATTTAGTATTGCACCTCACACATCTGAGAAAAGTAATATATTGATATATGTGTATTCATAATGGGAACAGTAAAAGTGTGTGTGAGTCTGGGATTCACTCTTAGTTTGTCCCTGGGAAAAATCTTACAGGGAAAACATCAGCCCAGGGGTGCTTTGGTGATTTGCCAAAAGTCAGACAGGAAATTTCTTCATCAAATGAGTATTTGAATGTAAACTTTTTACAACCAAATTCAGCATCTGGGCATTTATTTTACATCAATCTTTTTAGATAAGAGCTCATGAATTCTGGTTTATTCTACATTTGCATGTATCAGCACTAGAAAATAAAAAATACTAGTATCAGAATGCCAAACGTACTTTTCACTTATTGTGGATTACCTTGCTTTTTCAGAATGTGATGGATTGATCAAAAATGTAACATATCCTACATTAAAAATGTATGCTTATTAGCTTATGATTTCAAAATTGGATTATAGTATTTGCAAGTGAGACTTTAGTTGAATTCCCAAGAAATTATTACAGATAAATTTGGCAAATAAAAAAGCTGGTTTCTTTTTGGTCAGCTTGGAAGTTTATATTACCATTTGTGTAGCTCATTTCAACACTTGGACAACATACTTCATTTTTAGGAGAAATCTTACATTTATATCTTACGGTAAACATTCCTGCTTTCAAACTCATTTCTTACATATATGCATACTTATTTATTCTAATATTATTGGTTACCACTATTCTTTTCGTATAGACATTTGTTACATTTTCTCTTGGTTCAGGCTTTTAAGTTAGTATTTTCCTGTTGATTCTTGGCAACTTCCACTTGTACAAGCACTTGGCTAAAGTTCAGAAGTATGTTATAGGAAGCCAATTGTACTTTAAAAAAAGTATAACTTTGGATTCTGAGTTTGTCCTTTCCAGTTGGCTTTAGAATGGCTGCATGTGAACGAAAGCTCTTATGCCCACAGCAGCTGCAGAGTGAGCATATGTTCCATATAGACAACACACTTCTGATCAGGAAATAGGGAGGAGGGGTGCTTATATGTGGTGAATTTCTTTTTCATAAGGATTTTTACAGCTGGTGCACAGGTGGCAGTATAACTCCAGTTGCACAAGTAGATCTCTCTTGTTATCTTTGAGATGTGCAACACAGTTTTAAAATAATATTTTAGACACGTGTGTTATGAAAATATTTCCCAAGCTATACTGATCATGAGAAAAAAGTAATATTGAGATTTTATCTTTATGCAGTCTCTAGAAAGCATGCAAAATATTGTAAACATTTAACTTTCTAAAAAAGTTTAATCAGGCAAGTGAGTTCACAACCAGGAAGGAATGAAGGAAAAAAATAGGAAAGATATTAAAGCAATATGCTTACAGGGTTGCTAACTTGGAATTCTGAGAGAATTGGCACACCTTTAGATGGATCTTCTGGTATATAGAAAATATATTGTGTTCAGAATTCATGGGGAAAAAAAACAGTAAATAAGTGTTGATCACTCAAATGTGCCAATATTAAATTCAAGCTATTAATCTCTCTTTCCATCATTTGAGAAATACATTGAGAACAGAAAAGAAATTGACTAGGCAGCTGTTAAATTAACAAAGATAGAAATAATTGAAACTACTCTATCTGGTAAAAATGATTAGTAGAAACCAACTCAAGTACAGAGAAATATATACCATCAGAAAATACTGTCCCAGATAAGCAATTTAAAATTATCCGAATGGACTACATTTTTTTAAGTTACAGAAGGTTGATCATAAAATAAAAAATTCAAAAAAACAGTTGCTGTTATCACTTGTAGAATTTAAAATATTAAAAGATGTACTACCTGCTACGCTTGCAAGATGGCAACATATCTAATACTCCTGCCTCCTTTTTTCCCCTACAATGACCCAGTGAAGTGGATTGGGTTAAGAAAGAGTCACTTGCCCAAAATAACCTGGATGGTATTCATACCTGGGGAGGCTAGAACTCACAATCTCCTGGTTTTTAGACCAGCATCTTACCTACTACACCAAACTGTCTCAGTTGGTAGACTTCTATGAGGTGGACTAGGGTAACTTAGGGAGGCTTTCCTAGGTTAGGGATCAGTATATCAGGAGTCTAAAACCTACCAGAATACAATAGGGCAGGGGTCTCCAACCCCGGTCTGTGGACCAGCACTGGGCCGCAGCATGCCAGTAACTGGGCTGTGCAAGCAAGCAAAGCCCCATCTAAGCAAGCAAAGCCCCATCTAAGCAAGCAAAGCCCCATCTAAGCAAGCAAAGCCCCATCTAAGCAAGCAAAGCCCCATCTACGGGATGCAGACAGCATACAAAACCATGCCCCCTCCGGTCCACAGAAAAACCTCATTCCATGAAACCAGTCCCTAGTGCCCAAAAGGTTGGGAGCCCCTGCACTAGGGTATTAATCTGCTGGCAAAATGAGAGCATTTTCAGTATCCCTTGACAGGAGCTAATTCTAGAGGCATAGTTTACCCCCTGAACTCTGCTTGATTCCTGCATGTTGAGATTATGGCAAAGGATTTCAGAGAAGGACTTTCTTTGACATAATTACTTTTCTTGCCTTTCATTTTTCACTGTAATCCTTTTTCCCCCTGTTATCTGCTTTCTTTAATGTTTCCCTTTCTCTCTTCTGTCATCCCTTAAAGTGGTGTTCTCTATTATCTTTCCCTTTTATATACTCTAATCCTTTGAACTGCCAGAATTCATCTGATTCTGCATTTTTCTGTTTTATAGTCCCCTTTCCCACATGATTCAGCTTCATCCTTTTTGTCATTCCAGAGAATTTGACTTCTATTGTTAATTGACTTCTTCAAAAAGCTACATGGCTTCTAACACACCTATTCATGCTTCTGTTAAAAGATTTCTTTTTATATTACCTTAAAATATCCTTTCTCTTAAGATATGCTGCTGAATTATTTGATTTTCCCCCCACCTTCCTTTAAGAATTTAGCATTATCTTACTTTTGCTCTGCATGTGTGAAAGCTAGTATTGGTGTTCTGCATTTACTTGTATCAAATTTTTCAATTAAAGACCCAACAGAAGTTATGATTTCTTTCTTTAAAAATGTTTTTTTTATTTGACAAGATGACTCCTACAAAAGTCTTAAATAGTAGATGAAATTGAGCAGTTTTTCCATGCTTTAATTTTTTCCCTAGAGAAAGTGTTTCTTTGGATATTAATCATGGCATGATTCAGTTACCGGTTTTATCCTGCTTTCATCTCCTGCATAACAATTGCTATTATAATACTTGTTTAATTTCTCGCTAATTTCTGACAAAGACTTAAAAAAGCTTATTTGTGTGTTTCATTAAAAATCATACAGATATATATGCTCCTATTGGTAAGAATATAATAATGTTTTGAAGAATAAAATAAAAATCCCATTAATTGTAAGCTTTTCTACTC